GCGCAGAGCCCCGCTGGCCTGCGACAGGGCGGCCCGCTCCCCGTCCTGCAGCATGTCGGGTGAGTACGCTTCCTCCCTGGCCGCCTGAGCCTCGCTGAGCGGGCGCCGTCCGACTTTCTAGCACCCTGTTTTTTAACGCGTCCCCCGCCCCAAGGGAGAGTAGAGCTGCGTGGGAGTGGGCTGGGTCCTTTCGCCGCTCTCCTTCGAGGAGCCCAGGCCCTCTGCGGCCTTTCCCCTTGCAAAGGCGCTGCGGCACGGGCGAGGGTTTCCCCTGTTTTGTTAGTGCGGAGTACTGGGCGGTAATTAGCTATCTCAGATTAGGATTTGAACCATCTGGCTGGTGGGATGAAAGAGCTAAACTCATTTATCTATTCTACTTACAAATATAAACTAGCCTGCCCAGCCCCCTGCGAACTTTCCTGAGTGGTCGCGGCATACCGTGGTGATATAGCTGGGGTGCGCGTTCTCAGTCTGAACGAGATTAAGGGAAACCTGTGTTGTATCCCACCAGCAGCGGCAGTGGTTTTGTTTTAAGCTATCCTTAAAGCTGTGAGGTTGGTTTAGGGCTAGTCACATGGGGTGGGTGCAAGTGCTTTTTCATATTTTGAAGGTGCTTCTCAAAATTCAGGAAAGAGTTGGGCAGCAGTCCCCAAAAGCTGGTTTTCTTGAAAGAGAGTCGCTGACATACGTTAATTCAAATCTGGAACGCAACGCACCAGGCCCAAAGGCAGAGGTAAGTATGTAGCCTGTCATCTCTGAATTAGGGAATTGTTTAAGAATTTTTCTGACAGGAGGATGGAAAAGCTGGAAACATATAATTTCCTGTATGAAGTCCTCTGTCCCGTCCTGACCAAGATGGATTTTCCAGGCACTGCTTAAGCAATTTTTACTGTTGTATTGTTATATTACTGCTTTGGGACCAGTTTTGGGTGCTGTGCGTTATGCTTATTTGCATATTATAATATTGGTGCATTTTATTTTTCATAAGATCATTTACTGTCTATTGAATGAAAAAAATTGCGAGATCTGGAAGCAGACTAAAGTGTTCATGATTGAAAGATATTTAATGAAAGCTACACAGAATGAGAAACACTTCCTCTCTATATAGCCTTACAAGATAATAGCAGTAGTTATGTCGACTAAAATTCATTGTTTTTTTAATAATGAATAATAGAGAATCTATTTTTTGGTCAGGTAGAACTTAGTTAGACAAGAAAAATACTGTACTTGTCATCAAACGTCAATTTGTATTCCTTTTTACAAGGGTCTGTGCAAAAGTGCTAGCTGCACCAACATAACGTTCATCAGTAGTGTAAGTGTTTCTACTCTTGGGCCCAGACTGAGGAAATGCGAACGTAGAAACTCAAAAGTGCCAGCTATCACTTAATAACCATGGCAAGAGCTGTCTCTGTGCCGAAAACTCGTGTAACGGTTTCTGAGGATGCTATGACATAGCTGTTTACTTTCTACTTGCCTCTATGGTTGTGGATGTCATCTGGAGCAGAGCTTTCTATTCCCCACGCTTCTAACATAGTTGTGCTAGGCCAGGGAAGTGAGAAAGTCTATGACTTTATTCATCTCTGCAGTAGACTAACACATCTTCACTGAAATGTGCCTTTGGGGGAAGACGCTTGGGGACCTGTGTGTGGGAGGGAAAGTAACAAAACCGTTGTTGCAAAACAGCAAGCGAGTTGCAGCTGTTATGTCGCTGACTCTTGGGATGCCAGAAAGGTGCGTTGGGGCTCACCAGGCACAAATCCAGGCCGTGGTGTGCTTCCTGTGCGGAGCTTGCAGCTTGAGGATAAGGGGGCAGAAGTGAAAAAGGAACAGCAGATGGTAACAGAGGAATTTAAGAAAACAGTGAGACAGTGTTGGTTAGCATGCAAGGCGGTACATATTGCCAGCCTGTTGGAGATTTCTAGCTATTGAGTCATCTCCTCTTACTTTTATGATGAAGTTGGCAATGTGTTATTTGCCTGTGTGGAGGTTATAGCATATGAGTCTTTGGTGTCCTATTGCAGTTTCGGAGTGGGCAACTTGCCGTATTTTATTTGTTAGTCTAGAAACATTTTGATATCGTGAAGGCTGGCCTAGCAGCCATTGCTCAAATACATTTATCCTTTTCTGTCTATCAAAGGAAGACAGAAATATGTTTACAAAGCAATGTCTAGTGGATTAAAAAAAAAAAAAGGCAGACTTGTCTGCAGGCTGGCAGGTGCATATGGTTCATTTGGTGCTTTTTACTATGAATCACTGTCACTGGGTACCTGTTTTTCTCTCTCTCTTTGTCTCCATTTTGTTGTTGCTTTTTTTTCTTTGAACATCAAAGTGATCGCCACTCTTTATGCCTAGCTGCCGTAGTTTCTAAGTAAGGCTGTCATGCTGCCCTAGAATTGGTTTTCAGGCCAGTTAAAGAATTTTACCTCAGGCACTTTTGTAGGAGGTACAAGCGTAAGTAAGTGGCACAAGGAGTCAGTGATCTTGGATAAAAAAAGCTGTAAAGTTTCACATAAATCACCCTGACTGTAAGAGTGAGTTACATTATTTTTGCTGTCTTTTCCCCATTGCTATTCATTCTTGCAGAGTGGTCTCTGAATAATCCACCAAAGTTGTTTACTTGAAAATCCCTGGTTTGTTCTGACCAATTGTTGTTAGGTATTAAAATAGAGGAGTCAGTGCTGACTGTGATGACTTTGAACTTTGCATTTTCATATGCTGTATGCTAATCTAGACAAGAGAAATCAGTAGACTTATAAATTCATATGACATAGTTTAAATATGTTTCTAATCATAAGCTTACTTTTCTCATAATTCACGAGAGTCAATGATAGTAGCAATAGGGTTCCACAGCTTGAAAACAATTTGCTTGAACAGTTAATCCAGTTCACACTAGGTGTTTTCCTTGAAAAATCCCGTTGTCATTCAGCATGAAGAATTGAAAGTTATGCAAAAGCTGCATTTGTCACTTGAAAAATCCAGTTGTCATGAATTTTAAATACGTGCACCTTTGGCCTTTGAAATTAAAAGATCAAATATTGCTTCTTTTTCCGTTTCAAGTCAGTGAGTGTGCTGCTGGGTACATTATATTTAATAAAAAAATCTCCTTGATTTCAGTTTAGTGGGGATTTCAGGCAGAGGATTTATTTTCATGAGTCTGTATGAAAATCTGGTCCTTAGTTTTCAGCTTTGAAAGTAAAATTTTCCGTTATAGGGACAACGTTTCAAAGAGCAGTAATTCTAAACATGGAAAGTCAAGCTATGCTGCTTCTTCCTTGAAAATACAGACTAGATGAAAGAGAAAGTAGTGACAAAATCTTTTGATTTTTACACCTCCAATGAATCCTTAATGGATTAGTGATGCCTCTATATGGTTTTGAAATAGCAAGCATAAGCGTCTCTCGTTGCACCAAAATATTTTAATATTGTATGGTTTCAGTCAGTAGTTTGATTATTTATTTAATTAACTGTGTTATGGTTTACTCCTTTAAGAAGGCCACAATATGCGTTTCAAATTTTATTCTCAAAAGAGAAAATCCGTTTCTTTTCTTTGAGGGGTTTTAGCAAAACTTTCTTAGAAACTGTGTGCGTTTGGCGGTTCATTTCCTTGTAGTTCTTACCACAACTTTGGCCAGAGAAATACAGGGCATGAAAGTGTGTGTAGGATGTGGTAATTTGCCATACCAGCTTGCTGAGCGATTTGATGAGTAGCCTGTGTATTTTTGGATTTATTATTTATATGCAAATATTCAGCTTTTGTAGCTAAAAGAATTTGCAGAAGCAATAAGATGATTATGTGTTCAGCTTTATGGTTCTTATTTAAAATAGTATTTTAGGATTTAAACTCCTACTCACGTCACAGTTTGCTTTTTGTACTAAGCTCCCCCACACTCGTCTCAGTACTTGTTTTATTACCTTGTTTTGGTTGAAGATGCTTCTGTCCTAATACAAAAGTGCCTTTCTTTGCTGAGTCTTTGTATCTTTATCATTTGAGAGTTACTTTATTGCTGAAGTAGCCTTAAGGGTTTTTTTTCGAGTTATGCGTGTATGTGTTCATTTAACCTTTTGGAAAGTTGAAGTGGGAGCAGTTTACTTGCACAGCTGTTCTTTCAAACCAGTCCACGTAAGCACCTTCTTATTCACTGTTTCTTTAACACCCATAACTTGCTTGAGCAATTATGATAACAGGAGGTTCAGATGCATCCACACTGAAAGCTCCTTTTTACTTTGTTTCCTTCCTCTGGGTATTGTGATTAAAAATGCCATTGGAGTTTGTTTAGCTGAGGGATCTGCAAACTAATTTAAATTTAGGGCAGATGATTCAGTTGTTTTGGCTAAGGTTAATGCTGGTGGGACTCTCCTGAGTTACAGGAATCTATCTTAAGATGTCAGAAAATGTACAGTGTATTGGGCTTGATCAGAATTAGGGCCTGGCAGGAGATCAGTGGAAAATAGGAGAAAAAAAAAAAAAAAAAAAGGTGGGGAAAGAGGACAGTACACCAGTGGGTCTTTTCTTGAGGAGTTATCAGATATCCAGAGCTGTGTTTTGCTCTGGATTTGAAGGGCAAAAAAGATAGGAAAATACTAGTATTTGAAAGCTTCTAGCCGTCCTTCATGACATGCCTTGCTGTTAGGTTGGAGGTTTAGACACCTCATTTTGGCAGCCTTAGGCAGAGGCAGCCATGAGGTCATTTGCTGGGCTCTCCGCAACTAGCTCTGTGAGATTCTTTCTGAGTGTTTCTCACACAGCCTGGAAACCATGAGACAGGGTTGTGGGTTTTGTTTTTTTTTTTTTAACATAATTTCTTATGCCTTAATAACATGATGGTGGTTTTAGATAAGTAATTCAAAGTATTTATTGAAGCTGTAGTACACTCTGTAGAGCTCAGCAGAATTCCCTTCGTCTCTCTGACCCAGTCAGCTTGTTTTGGTTAGTTCTGTGGCCTCTAACTGAAGTATTGCTGCTGGTTCAAGACATACCATTCACCTTGCTAGATTTTAGACTATAACTCTCTCCAGAAAACCCACAATAAGGGTGGTTCTGTCAGAGGATAGAGCTGAAGAAATGGTTCCTGGTGATACTGCCACAGGCCTGGTATCTGTATAAAATATGCTGTGTCTGTTACTGCACAGGGCTGCAGCTTGTTTCCCTTATCTGCCACAACTTCTTTTCCCTGTGTTTCTTGAGTCTAAGGAATGCTTCCACTTTTCTTGGAGGTACTTGAGACAGGGGTACCTCCCCCACGACTAGTTTCTCCAAATATGTCAGTAGGTGCCGCTTGCTCAGTCAGTTCCTCTCACTCCAGTATAAAGAGGGTAGAGCAAAGAATTATTCCTGTTTGGTTGATTCGGTGAAGTCATGGAAAGATAGACATTTCTGGCTAACGCTGTTATCCACTGTTTTTCTTAGGTTTGGCACTATGGAAACAGGAAAATCTTGTTTATCAGTTGTATTACTGTGTTAGTTAAATGTAAAATACAAATATTTGACACCATGATTAGGCCGTAAGGCTTGGGGGATTATTTGTCTAAGGTTAGTCTGAAAACTTCATATCTGGTATTATGAAAATCAGGCAAACAAAAATAACAAAATTCAGAAACGTACATTCTACAAACATGCTTACTGAATTCTCTATTCAGTTTTGTCTTCTGGGGGAGCTTGGGAAATAAAAGAGCTTATCACAGGAACTGCAGGTTGTTATAAGCTGTAGCCTGTTGGTTAGCTGGAGGAGAGATTGTAGGAAGCTGCCAAAAGAGCTTATGTTAAAGCTGTAAAGTGACTCTTCTGAATATTTGTTCACAGTAACGGATCAAGCCTTTGTGACCCTTGCTACCGATGATGTTTATTGTCAAGGAGCTCTGGTTCTCGGACAGTCCTTGCGGAACCATAGGACATCTAGAAAACTGGCAGTACTAATTACACCAGAGGTTTCCAGCGGGATGAGGTAAGAATTCATGTGTTCTTGGAGGCTGATAATATGGAAAAATAAACAATGTCATGAAGGGTTTTAATAGGCTTCTGACAGATTTCACAGAAGTATGTCAAGACATTCCCCCTTGGCTAGCAGTTTCTGATGGTCCCAAATAACACCTGTAATTAAGATTGCAAACCTGGTAAGAATTCACTGGCAGAAGTAGACCTTACACTTGGAAGTTCAGTCTCACGCTCGTAGTTGGGAACACCAGCTGAAAGTCTGGGAACTGCAGGTTTAGATTCTTCCTTTTGAGCCAAAATAAAGGCACCAGTGCTTTATTTTTTCCCCAAGCGTCTCTCTTTTAGAAAGAGCAAGGCACTTACTACCTGAGACATAAGACCCCTCCAAAAACTTTAGGGGCTCGACTTCAGATGACTGATTGTTGCAGAATGTCATTGCGTAGCTATCATGATGCGAAATACATTTTTTTGCCTTTTTTAAAGTCTTTTTCCAACTTAGGCTGTGATTGTACAGGCACGGTAGAATGCTGTGTGCACAAATCTCATTAGATCTGCTGAACTCAAACCCTGTTATTTGGAGGATCATGCTGCATATCGAAAGGAACATATCATACCACAACTTGAGCTCTTGGTTCTGCTGTGGTTTAGGAAGTATGCAAGCTCTTGATCTTTTTGTGTGCCACGTGAAATTATTTGTAATGAAGCTGGCTAACGAAACATATTTTCATTTTTTGCTGTGACTCGATGTAAAGAAATCTACTTTTCCTGGATTTTTAAAATACTTATTTTGTCAGAACAATGCAATTTTCCAGAGCTAATACTGGTGGAAATGTATTTGAGACCTGAGTGGATACTTTTTCTTTTTTCTTTTAATGGATTTTTTCTAAATCCATTAATTTTTCATGTCTATACATTATAATATTTTTTGGACCATGGATAATGTCTGAAAAAGTGCGTCACTGAACTGCGCTTCTGAAAATCTGTACCTGCTCGTAATTCTTCCCCAGTTAACTCCTGTGCCCTGAAGACCAGACAAACAAAATCTAATGACTCTGACAGTTCATCATAAATGAATCTAGATAATCAGCACAGGCTTTTCTTTTTCTGTGTCTGTGTGACATCCAGGACTTTGTGAGTAATAGTACAATGTGAATAAATACGCTATGTTTAAAATACTTTTTTTTCTTGTGCCTTGAAGGAAAATTACCTACTTTGATATCGCCTATAAAATTTGTGTGGAAGGTATGGATGGAAGAAAGATGTCTTGCTTAAAAGTCTCATTTGAGAGGATTTGCGGTAGTAATAAAGTATATATTGTCTGTTTTTAAAAGATGTAAGTTTGTAGCTGTGTTTACTCAGGCATAATAAGTGCAAATAACTGTGCTGAGAGTGCATGCCACATCCTGTACAGCGCACAGGGAACACAGTATGTTGCTCTTCTTTAGAGACAATTGTACAGGATGAGAGCAGCTTTAATTTCTCTTGGTGTTTCTGTAAGAGACTAAATAGCTACAATAAGGTTTTTTCTCCTCTATACAGCACCTGTCACTTTTGAGATGCGCAGGCCTCTTAATGCAAGAGGTAGTAGTTTATGTCCTGATAGTTATCACTGCACCAGACCGTCTGTTTACAAGGACTCTGCACTTTTGATTTCTCTTTCTAAACAATCTACCTAATCTTTGTTATTGTACAGTAAATGATCGCTGCGTGTCACTATTTTCATGCCAATAATGAACTCTGATAAACCTCTCTAAATTCCCCTGTTTCTCTCCACTGCTTGCTCTGGTAGGTCTGTCCTCCGCAGCGTGTTCGATGAAGTAATTGAGGTAGATGCACTTGACAGTGCTGACTCGGTCCGTTTGGCTCTGTTACAGAGGCCAGAACTGGGTGTAACCTTCACTAAGCTTCACTGCTGGACTCTTACTCATTATAGCAAATGTGTCTTCATGGATGCAGACACTTTGGTGAGTAGGGTGGGAGCCACGGCCATGTGTCTGTCTTTAAGAGCCACTCTGAACATGGGATGCTTCCTTATCTGACAGCCTACCGGCATATGAAGTGACCAGATTTGCTCGGGGTCACGAGGTCAAAGGTGCTCCAGCTGGCACATTTTGGCAGTGTTCAGAGTTTTGCTATCTGCATGAAAACTAATCCAGTTTTGAGAGTAGCCTCAGGACTGTCCTCAATAGATACCATAAACATACTGTATGCAAACTGGCTTCTAACAGAGAGATCTTAAAATAGATCTCTGTTGTGTACTTCTCTCTGGGCTTACACTGATCAGGAATGCAGGCCAGTTTCAAAACAGAAAAAAATCAGAAACAATCCGTGATTTTTTTGTATAGATACCAAGGTAAAAATAGCCATAATTTTTGGAAGGAGAATCATGTCAGTTTTCCCTTGCACTTAAGTGGTTAATTTTGGAATATTGGGATATATTGTAATTGAGTAGAATTATATCTGATTTTGAAACAAAATTAAATAGTTCTGCTCAGGGGATAAGAAGGAAAGGTTTACATTATAGTTAAAGGAAAAAGGCAAATACTTCATGTAAAAAAAAATTCAATGAAACAATGATCTTCCCAGTGAAATGATTTATTCTCCTGCTCTTCTTGGTGGCTCCTTTGACAGCCGTTATGGATGGGGCCCGAATTTTCAGTGATTGTAGAACCGTCGTTCCACAAACTTTAAAAGCGATTTGGTTCTTAATCTTATCGATCTTTACCACTTCCTTGTGAAGCTTAAAAAAAAAACCCAAAGCAAACCTCTGAGCTTAATTTACATTTGAAAACCAGTAACAAGAGATGATTTATTTCTGCTACTTCTGTAGTTAGGCCGTTGCTAACTCAAATTATTTGGATTCCCAGCTTTTACTGAGCTCTGTTGCAGTTATTGAGAATAGCGGGCTTTGTTTTATGTCTGGAAAGTTACGCTAAGAAGCGAGGGGATAGTGTGTGTTTTCATGGTATAATATAATATTTAAAGGGACCTGCTGATCATCACCGAAGCTCATGAAGTAATTTCAATGAGCTTGCGCTTTTTGTCAGAGAAATCATGGAGAACGGTAATTAACACTACCATATCTTATTTAAAATAGAGGTTTTGACCCTTAGCAGATTTTCCATTGCCACTGCTTTTATGCTTTGCAGGCTATGTACTTGGCCAAACTACCAATTTATTCTATTAATACTGATTTAGCTACCTGATTTAGCTGCTTGAATGTTCTAGAAAAGCATTTCTTATAATGATTTTTCCTGCTGTCTCCAAGGTGTTATGCAATGTTGATGAACTGTTTGATCGAGAAGAGTTTTCAGCAGCTCCTGATTCTGGCTGGCCTGACTGCTTCAATAGTGGTGTATTTGTGTTCCGACCGTCTTTAAAAACTTACAACCTTCTGCTCCAGTTTGCAGAAGAACATGGCAGCTTTGATGGTAAGGGGTAAATATGGTAAGGGGCAAGGCATAAAGGGTGATGTGCAAGAAATCAGATTCGCTTTTGGTAAGCCAGTTCTCCACAGCTTGCATGCTATTTAGTGGAGCGGAAGAAGGAAAAAGTTCTCTGGGTTTTAAGCAGTTCTTCCCCCATAAAAAATTTAGGTGCAGGTCCTTGCCTCTTTTAAAGTATTTAAGGCTCATTGACTTCTTGCGGACTGTGCTTCCCAGAAAAGTGCAGTGTGAAGACACATTAATTCTGAGTCTTGCTCAGTAAGTTTTAATTTTCCTGACTCATTTAAAAGAAAGGGAAAGA